AGTAATACTGCGTTACGTCACCAGCATTACTTGCTGCTAGTTCTGGTATTGTGCAAGCTTTACTCGCGATTTGCATCCTTGATGAGTTTCCTTGACAAGAAGACGCCTGTCTTTCTGCACAGATTTTGTGTTCTCAAAATTCTCTACAACGAACCATTAAACGCAAAGTAAAATATACGTAGGGTGCAGGATGTGGTATAGTTTGGGGGAGGGGGAGGTTACTTATGCACCGTTTTGGATAAGAGAGCGATTGGTAAACGAAATGCAGCCCGCGAAACATGCCTCTGTGCCCGGATTTAAAGAATTATTTTGTGTGTTTCGTGGTGTATTTTGATTTGAATGGAACGATGACTGTGAATAATTAACTGGCACGGGTGTAGAAAGAAACAGTCTTTGCTTCGTGTAAGACTCGGTCCCATGATTTACCTGCAGGAATTGAGGAAAATCGTAAAGAAATTTAGTTAGGATAATCAGACCCCGCGAACGATAATCGAGCAAAGTGTCAGCCACTCAGTGATAAAATCGACTTATGGCTAATTCATGTGTTAGCTGGATTAAACCGGCTTGAGATTCAGTCCAGCTGTTTGCTTTTATGAACACGGTACTGAACCTTCAGTTTCCACAAAAGGCATGGAATATTTTGTCTAGCTGAGCGACTATCAACTTATCTGAAGTGCTGTGCATTTAGGAGTGGGTTGGTTGTCTTTTGAAGAAAAAACACCTTTCTTAAAAAGGGTTTCTGCTTATTGTTCATGCTTGTTTTATTTCGTGTCATGCAGTTACTTTTAAAGCACTGCATTCGCAAAGTTTTATTTCGCAACTTCGTATTGTGTATGGTACGGTGTCCATGCAGGTAAATACTTTCATTTTTATTCTGCTGATTCCAGGTATTCACATAGTAGTCTTAAGCGTGCTTTTGTGTTTGAAATAATCACGATCTCCGGTACGTCACATTCTTCGCGGAAATTCTGAAAGATATTAAATGACGTAAAGAACAGAGGACGAAAGTTAAAAATAATACCCTTTCAACGTGAAGATGTCTGTCCTCAGGCTTGTTACGCAGTGTAGTCTGGTAGAAGTTTCCCGACGTTTGAGAGGTGCCTGCTGCCTCCTTCTCCAGGGCGACGGCCACCAAACACCTCTGAAACGTCGGGAAACTGCTACTAGACTACACTGCGTAACAAGCCTGAGGACAGACATCTTCATAATCGCTGGCGTGAGAACCTCAAATCTCACTTACTGTCCAAATTTTTATGTTAATATATGATTTTCTAACTTGTATAAACGAAGGTTTTGGTCGAGTATTGTTCTTAATATGCGTCGTGGGCCCAAATACACGAAATTCTCCGCCTTCTATGGAAAGTGAAGATTTAGTACTTTGATCTCTGGGTTGGTTATCTTCCGTTTGTTGACGGTAGCTGCATGGTGAAAATATATTTGATACGTTTTAAGTTTCAAACATGGCAGCGGCGCGAACTTTGAGATTATGAGCCTCTCTGACAAATTTAGCGCAGTCAGAATCGATTCGGGAATTTCGTGCGCTCCAAATTTTTTGTTAAGACAGGGAACAGCTTTGGTGAGTCACATCGGTAACATTTCTGTTAATACGACTGAATTAGTGTGAGCCTATTCACTGTGGTGATAAATCTTAGAAATAAATATGTAAGGACAATGTTTGTTTGCGTGTTTTTTTTTTTTAATTCTTCGGCATAGGATTGTGACAGAAAAAAATGCACGCTTGTGTGACGAAAACCAAAATTCACAATGCAATAATGTTTAACTTCACTTTTGAATATTTTTGATGAAATTATTTCAGAATTGGCTGTCTGGTAAGACTTTTCTGTTAGCAATTGAGGGACTACAACTTTGTAATAACCTCTTAATGTAATTGTTTGGGGGCTGTATTTGTTGCACACTCTGTACTTCTGTTAGAATGACGTAGGGTTGTCAGCCACATTATGTCATGCAGTTAAAAGACATGAAAGCAATTTTCTAATCGGAGAAAAAACGATTGAGTAAGGTCATACTATTATGACAGCCAGTGGAGGACCGGCCAAGGCGGAACACAGCTCACATGTCTGCACCCTTTCCCGCCCCCTGTATTTTCTTCTGGTGTAATTACTTCGCAAGTAGCCTAATATTTCAGTTACCGGAATGTCTGTTGACGATGCAAGGATACGAACAACAGAGCAAAATATCGCATAACGATGTCTAAAAGCGGCATTTTGGATTTTGTCCACCGTCTAAGTATCAATAACATCGCAACGTTTCTGAAGCTGGATCGTTGGATCTTCAGGTAAAGAAGTGGGAAGGACAGAGCCATTCCTGTTTGAACCCTACTTCAGCCAGCCTCAGACTCAATCAGGGGGCCCAACTTCCTTGCTTCAAACTTTTTACCTGAAGATCCAGCGATCCAGCTTCAGAAACGTAGGCGATGGACAAAGTCATACTATAATGACACCATCGTAAGGGCCTCAAGACTTCAAGCTCGTAACATTTAGGTGTCGTAAAATAGAACCGTATGTTTTGGTTTAAAAAAGAATTGTTTGTGATGTAAGACCTCTATGTCTCGTGCCTGTGGTTGAAACAGAATATATTCGCTTGTCTACTTTGTTAATATACGTGGTCTCAGGGTGCAATATTCTGATTATGTAGCCTGGTGTAATACGATTAGTTAAAGGCATTTGAAATCTGAGATAGAATGACGGGTAGGTCTGTTTAGAATTCTTTATGCAGGGCGGTAAGATGAGTTTCTTTGAAATGTATGAGATTTGACGTTTCCGCGGAGGAGTGTGGTCTTCGGTGTTAACAGAGGACATAACATCACGACCCAGAAGACCGGAATCAACATTTCTTTGAAAAGTATCGTGCATGGAAACAAGACGAGTTTCTTTGAAGCGTCAGATGAGTTTGCACGGGAGAGTAGGATGAATTTGTTTAGACTGAGAATTTTATGGGTTTTGACCGCTGGAATATAAGGATTGTGGGCCCAACCTAACCTAACCTATCGAATTCCTCGTGGTATAGATATGTACCACCATGCCCGCATGTTTGTGCGTTGTGTTGTCTCGTGCAGACGGTAGCCGTACGAAGGCCGACCACTCGTCTGTGAAGTGCTATCAGATATGAACGGGATTCAAAGTTCAGAGATAATTCTAAATCGTAATAAGGTCAGTGGGCTTGTCCATGATGTCTGAAGAAGAAAAGGTAGACAATCTCAAGATCAGATTATATAAAATTATTAAAGATTAGAATCGTTTCAAGGTAAGTCCTCTTGAAGGCCGTGATTTCTATAAAAATATGCAGTAACGTCACTAAAGTTGTTATTTGTTTGTAACTGGTTTCGTTGATGCGTAAAGATAATCGGTAAAGTGACTGTCCCTACCGAATTCAGACCGGCTGTGGCGACCCAACAGGCTTCAGTCCAAAGAGACAAAATTACTTGCTGAAGATGGTTGTCTTCTGGGCTGTAGCGCCGTGTAGTCTGGTAGAAGTTTACGACCAGTTGTGGGGTCTTTGCTGCCTCCATATTCAAGCTCATCGCCCTGATGATGGAGACAGCAGTGGCCTCTGAAACGTCGGTAAACTTCTACCAGTCTACATGGCGCAACAACCTCGAATCCTACAACGTACTTGCTGGGTAGTTGATGTTTTGTGTTGTATTCAGGTCTCTGGAGATTCCCCTTAGACTGTCTGAACCTAATGAAACACGAATGCCCGAATGTACTTTTCCCCTGAACATTTAAATAGAGCTGCAGTAATTTGATTAACATCTCGCTGGTTCGAATCCCGCTCATGGCATGGACGTTAGATTTTACAACAGCAAGGGGACCTGTGATCCGGGAGAGAAGTATTTATTTGGCGGAATGCAACCTGACAATTTTGTGGCGCTGAAGTTTCGGTAAAACCTGTAGGCTGTAGGTGAGCATTTGTTTTAATGTTTTCTCTCCTCATAATGATATGAAACAAGGAATTGATTTGTCGTTATTTATTTTAAAATTTGCTTCAGAAAATTCCCCCAAATTTCAGGATGGACTGGAATTGAATGACACACCTTAGTTACCGGTCTAGTCTGATGAAGTTAATCTGTTAGACGAAAATATAAAAACCACAGAAAAGAACATAAAACTGTAACGAGTTAGTACGGAGACTGATATAGAAGTGGCTAGATGCTGAAAGAAAGTGTTTGTGCCTCGCCACCAGACTGCCGGACAAAGGCAGATAAAGCTAATAAGTCTTCTAAACGTGTTCCAAAGATCAAGTAATTGGTAACGACAATAACAAATCAAAATGACCTTCGTGATTAAATTAAGATCAGATTGAAACTCTCGATATCATTTGGTTAAAAATCCTTAATCGTTCCGCTTCGTATCTAAGAAAAGAGGCTGATTAAGAATAAAATGTACGCTACAAAACTATAATTTTACCCGTTGCTTTGTATGGGTGTGAAACTTTATCTCTTGCTGCAAGGAAAGATCACAGATCAAGGGTGTCTGAGAGCAAAGTGCTGAGGTGAATATTTTTTACGTGAGAGAGAAGTACCAGAAAGTGGAGAAAATTACATAATGAGGAGCTTATAATTTATACTCCTTATCTAATATTATCCCGGCGATTAAATCAAATAGGACATGGCCGAATTGATAACGGGAAACTATGAGTGCATATGGAATTTTTGTCGGGAAGCGTCAAGGTAACATGCCATTTGGGATACTGCTGTGGGGCATGAAAGTGGTGGACTGGATTTAATACGAATAAGGTAGTCGGAATGTGGGCTTTTGTGAACACGGTAATGAACTACGCTGTTGTTCTGAGTTTTGATGCCGTGAAAACTCGCAAGTAGATACCAACGTTCGGGGAAACATACTGTTTCCATCTTCAGGGCTGATGAAGAACACCTCAAATGTACAAGAAATGAACTTTTGGGTTTCTTTAATGAAGACCCCCCAATACCATGAATTCAGTTATGGAGTTGGTAGAGGTCTAACGCATCGTGGGAGTCCTATAGTGATTATGTTAAGATAATATTAATTGAAACTATCAAAATCGACTGTATGTAGCCAGGGGTTTCGTAAAATTTAATAATTAATTCGCTTATTTATTGTAACAGTTTTAGTGAGCCAGGTTTTCACGGCTGTGAGGATACCGATGCAGTCCTTTGGGTTGTGGCATATTTACTTGACCTCGGCACTAAATGGAGGCGAGTTGTGAGCTTCGCGCTCAATTCCGGAAGCTGGGTTTGCCCAATAAATTGTCTGGGTGCGGTGTCAAAGAGAAAATTCTCGTTCCCTGCCTGCAAGCCAGAGTAATCAATGATTGTTTCATACGTTGTTTTCGATGGATATCAGCTGTTTTTTCCTAAAGATGGGAGACAAATTTTCCAGAATATCCCTTGCTGTTCACATAACATGATATGTACGTGTTTATTATAGTGAAAGAATAATTAAATAGGCCTGAATAGGGTCTATTAAAATCACTCGCCGTTAAATTTTAGAATTCAGATGGATTAAGCATATATTCTAATCATAGCAACATATTTAATTAATTATTTACTGTTTATTTAACGTCGCTGACAGTAGCTAAGATCGTATAGCGTCTAATGCTGTGATGAGTAGTGAATAATGGAAGAAGAGATCGTGGCCGATTTTGTCGCCGTGTAGAACCCGAAGGTTGAATGCCATTACTTCGGAAGGATGCTGTTAGACACGAACTTGTGCCAGTTTCATCCACCCGATCCTCACTCTCTCTCCCCAAGGACTCATCAGCTACTTGAACTTCAATGTGTACGTTTTTCAAGAAGAATATTAATTCCTAGTGCAGACTAAGAAGAGAGAACGCACTTTAAGTAACTAATTGCATGCAACGGGGCCTGTTTGAGAAGTTAGAGAAATTTCCTGTGTATTATGGATTCCGGAAGTTCATTACCGAGTTGACATTTTTCAGCCGCTGGAATTAATTGAGTGAACATAATTTTCTTCGGCACACGCAGTTAATTTTTGGTGCAACAAAAACTTTGAATTGGTGCACGTCGATGCAGGAATTACTGTCTTTGGGGGGGGGGGTTGCAGATTTGCAGATTGGGTAACAAAGTTAAAAGCTGTGTGCAAAATGCGAAAGAAACTGCGCGTTGATGAATACATGGCTCGCTGTAGCAGCATCGGAGACGCTTTGCAGTGACATGTGGATGGAGGGGGGGGGGGCAGTGTCATGTTCCTCCTCCCCTCCAACTACAATGAATGAACCTCAATGAAGAGGACGAAAGAACGGCTCCATCTTCTTATCCTCTGAGCCAATAGCTTGCTGAAGAAATACGCTTGAGATGTGCTCTAGCTGGTCACAAATCCCAACGCAAATTGGACAGGCGACAGTTCAAGTTTTGACACGCGCGCTCAGATGTTCCTTGCGCAGCGTGGTAGCGGAAGCCACAGGATGCCAAAGCCAGCCATTACACATAATCCTGAGCCTGTTCCATTCACCTCCTATCCTCACAACTTGTCTCCCTAAGATTAATCTTAATTCTATTCTTCCATCTTCTTCTCAGTCTTCACCCAAGCGATCGTTTTCTTCTATAGGACATCCACTCCTTGCAACTGTCCCAGCCTGTCTTGCACTCTTGAACCACTCTAACAATACTAAGGGACTAAGTAGGGTTTGAGGTTCTCATGGCAGTGAGTACGAAGATGGCTGTCTTTTGGGTTGTAGCACCGTGTCGTCTGGTAGAAGTTTACCGTTTCAGAGGTCTTTGATGCCTCCATCATCATGGCCCTGATGATGGAGGCACCAAGAACCTCCGAAACGTTAGCGCTACAACAAAAAAAGACAGCCATTTCGTACTTGGTGACGTCTGTGAATCAGAAAATTTTGAATTGCGTACTTACTTCTTTCGTCTTAGGTGCAAATATTTTCCGGAATACTTTCTTTTCCTCCGCATGAAGTTCGAGTTCTTTCTCGAAGTAAGAGATCACATTTCACACCCTTGCACAACCACTGGAGAATTCGCCAGGAAATACAAACGTCGCGTCTTATGAATCGTACAGCCCTTAACTGTGAATGTTACACTAATGCTCAGAATAAATTCTCGTCGCATTTCCACCGCCTTCTTTATCAGTAACCATGAGGAGTACAGTAACGACTACGTGTTTTTTTATATTTATAAATTGCTGGTTGTCGATTTAAGGAAAAATTACTTATTTACAAAACAATTGAAACGGTGCGAACTTCAACATAAATTTCCCATCGTAGCCTCATTTCCGCCAGTCGAAATTGGCACTAAGTAGACCTGTAAGCGTCCCTAAAATTCTTTCAATTTCCCATTTGTTACATACTGCACTTAACCTAAATAGAACATAGATGCATTGCACATAATTTGCTTTGTTAACTGGCTTCGTGTTTCGCTCAATTAATTGTGATTAAGTAGCTTACAAATTGGTTATTACAATTCCGCAGCCAGAATACCTGAATAGTGTAGGTGCCAAGTCTTCGTAGCACAGGATTGCTGATTCGGCTGTAGTTTACTTCAGTGTCTATCGGGCGTTAACATACATCAGAATTAAAAATTAAATGTCTTTCTACACCGAAAAAATAGTTCCGGATTTCTCTGTTTCTGTATCTGTTTTGTTTATAATCAGAATTTTCTAATCATAATTATGGATTCATCCGACTTGAGATATGGACCATTCTACAAAAGTAATCCAGTTTTCTCACTCCTGGTCAACTTGTGTGATGGCACAAGAGGCTACCGTCATCAGAAATACCACCAAAAAAAGAAAACTTTCCCTGTTGAGATGGTTACAGTAATATTGTAGTTTCCATCTTGTAAAATGAAAGATTCTCAGTTGTCGTTAAAACATTTAAAACCCTTAAAACTGTGCAAAGAGAAACTCATATTTCCTTAAAATGCGTTTCATACTCCACGGACAGATGATCAAGAAATTCCCCGCCTTTTACGGAATCCGAAAATTAATTTCCGTGTTCGCAAGAGCCCGCCAGTCCTCACTTTCACATCATATTTCTTTAAAATCCGTTTTAATATTGTCCACCAATGTTCGGGCAAGTCAACTAAATGGGTTTTTCCCTTTGGATTAAATAACTGTACGTGAATTATTTTATTAAATTTTGTTTCATTAAAACTAGATTGTATCACATGCAGAAAACTTTTTCGTAGGTATCTGTGGGCGAAACGCACTGAAGTACAACAAATTGAAGTCAACGTATTACATTTCGGCGTGATATGGAAATCTCGAAGTTTATTTCGCATTATATTTCTCGCACCAACTATGTTTTGGGGGCTGCATGCGGATTTTCGTAATGTTGAAGTACGACTTTATCCGAACATCCACCACGACACACTTTTAAATAGCCATAAATAATAAGTGTTGACTTAATATGATTTTATGTTGGGATGTAGGCGTTAAGGCGATTTTAAATAAAACCTATGAAACACTTTTTCACAGTAGAATACTCGAACACATCAAAGAA